CAGAATCGAAATCACGGGAAGTGTTAGTACCGCTTGATAAAGCCTTTAGTGAGGCCACACCTGGAATCCTGCGTTCAGTTTTGGTCCCCACATTACGAGAAAAGATGTTGAGGCTTTGGGGAAAAAGTGCAAAAAAGAGCAACTTAGATGATTTAAAGAGGCAAAAACATTGGAAGAACGGTTGCAGGAATTGGATATGGCCAATCTAGAGAAAAGAAGGATTTTTTTGGGGGGGGGGGACATGATAGCAGTCTTCTAATATTGGAGGAGCTGCCACAAGGAGGAGGGGGTCAACTTATTCTCCAAAGCACCAAAAGGCAGGACAAGAAACAAGGGGTGGAAACTAATCAAGGAGAGAAGCAACCTGGAGTTAAGGAGAATCTTCCTAACAGTGAGGACAATTAACCAGTGGAACAGCTTGCCACCAGAAGTTGTGGGTGCTCCATCACTGGAGGTCTTTAAGAAGAGACTGGACAGTAATAATAATAATAATAATAATAATAATAATAATAATAATAATAATAATAATAATAATAATAATAATAATAATAGTAATAGTAATAATAATAATAATAATAAAGTTGGAAGGGACCTTGGAGATCATCTAGTCCAACCCCCTGCTCAGGCAGGAAACCCTATACCATTTCAGACAAATGGCTGTCCAGTCTCTTCTTAAAAAATTCCAGTGTTGGAGCATTCACCGCTTCTGGAGGCAGGTTGTTCCACTGGTTAATTGTTCTCACTGTCAGGAAGTTTCTCCTTAGTTCAAGGTTGCTTCTCTCCTTGATGAGTTTCCATCCGTTGCTTCTTGTCCTACCTTCAGGCACTTTGGAGAATAGTTTGACTCCCTCTTCTTTGGGGCAGCCCCTGAGATACTGGAAGACTGCTATCATGCCCCCCCCTCGTCCTTCTCTTCATTAAATTAGACATACCCAATTCCAGCAGCCGTTCCTTATATGCTTTTGCCTCCAGTCCCCTAATCATCTTTGTTGCTCTTCTCTGTACTCTTTCTAGAGTCTCAACATCTTTTTTACATCACAGTGACCAAAACTGGATGCAGTATTCCAAGTGTGGCCTTACCGAGGAGGGGGGCTGGACTAGAAGACCTCCAAGGTCCCTTCCAGCTTTATTCTGATTCTGAGGTTAGGATCTGTTCAGGGTGCAAAAAATGCTGGGTATTTTGTAATGGGAAAATTGCAAACTCCCACAATCAGTGCAGCTCACTCAACTCAGAGCTTCAACTTCAAAGTTTAAGGTGCTCGCTTAAGTTAAATTTAAATTTTGGCCTTCCGATTCAGCAGCTGCTGTTTTATACATATAATACCTCGACTTACGACCCCAGGATGCTGCGACCGTCATGAATAAGAGTCAGTTGCCAGGGGTCTGAATTTTGATAGCGTGCCCACGGGGGATGCTGCATTGGCTGTTACGTGTGAAAAACGGTCATCAGTCCCCTTTTCAGTGTGATTTCGAACGGTCACTAAATGAACTGCTGTAAGTCGAGGACTACCTGTCTGTACGTGGCTGCTGCTGTTTCCAAAAACAAAACTCGAAAAGCAGCAAGCTAGCAGGTGTGGCCTTTTCCCCCTTGGGGTGGAGAAAACTCTACCGGTTGACTTAACAGCCTGAACGCAATGCCTCTGGGAGTCTGCTGCTAGGGACAGATCCTCCCAGGGGGATTCTGGGAAGGGAGGAAAAAGGGGAAAGTCCTCCCAGGGGATTCTGGGAAGGGTGGAGAGAGGGAAAGGTCCTTCTGGGGGATTCTGGGAAGGGAGGAGAGAGGGGAAGAGCCCCCAAGGGGATTCTGGGAAGGGTGGAGAAAGGGAAAGGTCCTTCTGGGGGATTCTGGGAAGGGAGGAGAGAGGGGAAGAGCCCCCAAGGGGATTCTGGGAAGGGAGGAGAGAGGGGAAGATCCAGGAGATTCTGGGAAGGGAGGAGAGAGAGGACTGGGAGATTCTGGGAAGGAGAAAGGGGAAGGTCCTTCCAGGGGATTCTGGGAAGGGAGGAAAAAGGGGAAGATCCAGGGGATTCTGGGGAGGAGAGAGGGGAAGGTCCTTCCGGGGGATTCTGGGAAGGGAGAAGAAAGGGGAAGATCCAGGGGATTCTGGGGAGAAGAGAGGGGAAGGTCCTTCTGGGGGATTCTGGGAAGGGAGGAGAAAGGGAAAAGTCTTTCCAGGGGGTTCTGGGAAAGGAGGGGAGAGGGAAAGGTCCTTGCAAGGGATTCTGGGAAGGGAGGAGAAAGGGGAAGAGCCCCCAAGGGGTTTCTGGGAAGGGAGGAGAGAGGGGAAGGTCCTTCCGGGGGATTCTGGGAAGGAAGGAAAAGGGGGAAGGTCCTTCCAGGGAATTCTGGGAAGGAAGGAAAAGGGGGAAGATCCTCCAAGGGGATTGTGGGAAGTGAGGAGAAAGGAGAAGGCCCTCCCATCTATTCTTTTCCCAGAGGATTCTGTGAAAAGTGCAGATTGTACAGTGAACCCGAGGACATGGCGCAACTCTCCACCGTGGGTTATCCCCATATCACAATCCGGCCTTTGCCATCTCCCTGGAAAAATCTCACCAGCACCCGGTCTTCATTTTTCTTGGGTTTGGTTTCGAGCTTCACCCTCACCAGGAGATGGACGGCAGGCCGGTTGAGAACCTTCCGGATGCTTTCTGCGAAGGAGAATGCCAGCATTAGGATGGGAAGGAAGGAGTTACTAGATCCACCACCTCAGTTAGAGTTGGGGTCCACTTCCAAGGACAAATAGGCCCTCCAAGTTGGTTTCCCCCATCTGCAATCCCTGGATAAAGTGACACGGATAACAGAAGGGACCTCGGAGGTCTTCTAATCCAACCGCCTGCTCAAAGCAGGAGAAAAAAAGCAGCCAAAAGTCAGTGCCGTTGTAACTTTGAACAGTCACGAAATGAACCCGTTTCAAGCTGAGGACTACCTGTACACCAGGAACTGATGTGATATTACTAATATTATTGTATTAGTGGTCAATTGAAACAGGAGATAGATAGATAGATAGATAGATAGATAGATAGATAGATAGATAGATAGATAGATAGATAGATAGATAGATAGATAGATAGATAGATAGATAGAAAGATGATAGATAGATAACTAGAGAGAGAAATGATAGAGAGATGATAGAGAGAAAGATGATGGATAAAGAGAGAGATGATAGATAGATAAATAGAGAGAGATGATAAATAGAGATGATAGATAGATATGATAGAAAGATGATAGATAGAGAGATGATAGATAGATAGATAGATAGATAGATAGATAGATAGATAGATATACAGATAGATATAGATATATATATCGATATATATATATATATAGATAGATAGATAGATAGAGAGAGAGAGAGAGAGAGAGACAGAGACAGAGATAGAGAGATAGATATAGATATAGATATGATAGATATAGATATAGATATACTGTAGATAAATATAGATAGATAGACAGATAGATATAAGATAGATAGATAGATAGATAGATAGATATAGATAAATATAGACAGATAGATATAAGATGATAGATAAATAGAGATGATAGAAAGATGATAGATAGAGATGATAGATAGATTTTATATATATATATATATATATATATATATATATATATATATATATATATATATATATATATATATATATATATATATATATATATATATATATACCTATGTGTGTGTTTGTGTGTGTGTTGTGTGTGTGTGTGTGTGTGTGTGTGTTTCAAAATTTGGATTGCTAACAAAGAATTAAGGCAGAACTAGAATAGCCATTTTGAACTTTTTAGTTCTTTTCAACCAGACATACCCTTCTGAGATTTGAACCTGGGCTGTCTGCATGTTAGGCAGATGTATTAACCTCTAGACCACAGGCTCGTTCTCGCTATCTTTCTCACTATCTTTCGATAGATAGATAGATAGATAGATAGATAGATAGATAGATAGATAGATAGATAGATAGATAGATAGATAGATAGATAGATAGATAGATAGATAGATAGATAGATAAACGATGCTGCCACTTCAAGGGATGAAACAGTGCCTGGCTGAGGAATTCTGGGAGTTGAAGTCCACAAGTCATAAAAGGGCCAAGTTTGAAGACCCCTGATATATATAAACGATGCTGCCACTTCAAGGGTTAGATGGCCTAAATGACATTTATAATTTATGGTGTTTTATTACTCTAGGTGAAATGGTCATATATACTGCTTGTCCATGTGTCATATGCCCTACACTAAATAAAACAACAATAACAACAACAACAATGATGATGATGATGATGATGATGATGATAACAGTAACAGGCTTTGATGGATATCAACTGACTCGTTGTCTCCCTCAGAACACTCTCTCAGCTTTACCCCTCGGGCCACATTGAACCCCAGAAACCTCCCTCGCCTCGTGTGTGCCGAGTGCGAGGCAACGAAGTTCCCCGGCTGGGTGCGCAGGGCAGTCAAGCGCGACATGAGAGACGACATCCCGCCTTCAAGAAGATGGATTGGTCCTGACAGCCAAGGCAGAGGCAAAGAAGGACGCTTCGGAGCTTACCAAATCGTCCCAACAAGAAGCATCCGAGATCGGATCTTGGACAATAGGTGTCTCAAGTAATTGAGCCAAGTTTGGTACTGGGGCAGGGGGCAATAGAAGCAGATTCAAATAGAGGCTGGACCCTTCTAACCACTGAAGACCAGACCTAGCCCTTGTATTTACCGAATTTAATACGATCGTAATTCAGTTTAAATCAAATGTAGTTTTTTTTATTCCTTTTGCATTTGAATTTTTGAGCCGGCTGCCTAATCTTCAAAACAATCTATTTTTCCCCCCCTTTTTCATTTCAGACCAATAGTGGGTTTTTTTCTTGTCTCTTAGTTCCTGCCTTTCATTTCCTTTCATTCATTATTTCTCCTGTGCTTGCATAGCGTTGCTTAACCTGAATCGGAAAAAAAAATTAGCAGGTTTGATCTCAGGGGAGAGTATTTTGGACAAAAAATATGGAAGCCACGTCCGTTAAGCAAAAATCACTGGGGGCAGCTATATAAAAAAATGGTTTTCTCTGTTCTACTTCTTGATCTCAGAGAGAAAGGATGCAAAGGAAATTAAACCCCACGTGGCAGCATTTCCTGACGTGACAGAAAAACATAGAAAATTGAGATTTTTTTGGGGGGGAAAACATGTAATTCAGAAGAGAAAAGGCGTTCAATCGGATTGAAGCAGTTGCTGTACAAATAGTCCTTGACTTACGACTGCAATTGAGCCCAAAATGAATGTTGTTAAGCGAGACGTTTGTTAAGTGAGTTTCGCTCCATTTTACGACCTTTCTTGACACCGTTGTTAAGCGAATCACTTAGTAACACGGTGGTTAAGTGAATCGGGCTTTACCTGTTGACTTTGTCGGTCAGAAGGTCGCCAAAGCAGATCACGTGACGCCGGAATGCTGCAACCGTCGTAAACACGAGTCACTTGCCAAGCATCTGAATTTTGATCACACGATTGTGGGAGACGCTGAAACGGCCATCAAGTGTGAAAAACGGTCCTAATTCGCTTTTTTTCCAGTGCCGTCGTAAATTTTGAACGGTCACTAAACGAACCGTCGTACGTCGGGGACTGCCTGTGTTTCTATACAGGTAGCCCTCGCGTTAGGACACCAAATAAGGACTGGAAAATCCGTCGTGAAGATTCTGGTCCTCAAGCGAGGCGTCACGTAATGGTGACTTAATAATAATAATAATAATAAAAGTTGGAAGGGACCTTGGAGGTCATCTAGTCCAACCCCCTGCTCAGGCAGGAAACCCTGCCTATACTGTTTCGGACAAGTGGCTGTCCAGTCTCTTCTTCAAAACTGCCAGCGTTGGAGCATTCACCGCTTCTGGACTTCAAAATTGTGACTTGCGACTTCAAAAATTCAGCCGCTGGCCAACTGACTCCTACTTGTGACGGTCGAAAGCATTCCGGGGTCACGCCGTCCCCTTTGCCGACCTTCTAACCAGCAAAGTCAATGGGGGGAGGGGAAGCCGGATTCGCTTAACGACCGTGTGGCTCATTTACCACCTGCTTAACAATGGGTGTCGAAAAGGTCAATCAAATGGGGCCAAACTCGCTTAATGCAGGTCTCGCTTAGCAACAGAAAGGTTGGCCTCGATTGCCGTCGTAAGTCATAAGTCGAGGACTCGTCGTAAGTCGAGTGGGGGGATGGAAGGCTCTTATCAATTTTTAAAAAAAACCAAGATCAGGGGTAGGCAACCTCGGCTCTTTTATGACTCGTGGACTTCAACTCCCAGAATTCCTGAGCCAGCCTGGCTCAGCTTGGAAACCTCTCCCTTTCCCCTCAGCATGGCTGGCTCAGGAATTCTGGGAGTTGAAGTCCATGAGTCATAAAAGAGCCAAGTTTGAAGACCCCTCAGTTAGAGGAACATATGAAAGCATAATTAATGTTAATTAATGTAGACTTTATTGGTTTAGAGCAGGGGTAGGCCACCTTGGCTCTTTTATGACTCGTGGACTTCAACTCCCAGAATTCCTGAGCCAGCATGGCTCAGCTTGGAAACCTCTCCCTTTCCCCTCAGCATGGCTGGCTCAGGAATTTTGGGAGTTGAAGTCCACGAGTCATGAAGGGGCCAAAGTTTCCCCCATGCTGGCTCAGGAATTCTGGGAGTTGAAGTCCACGAGTCATAAAAGAGCCAAGGTTGCCTACCCCTGACCTAAGCCATCATTTCTACAGTTTGCAGTCTCTCTCCTCCTTCCTCCTTTTTCGGCGTTTGCTGTCGCCGCACACATCAGGGAGCAAAAGAGTATAAAACAGACAGCGGCAAGTCTCCCTCCAGACAAATTCAGTGCCCGGTGACCATTAACCCATCTGTGTAATTTTCTTGGCAACAATAAGAAAATGATTTAGCCATGCTCAGAGACCAGCTAATGTTATCCAGCCCTGTGCAATGAAGAAAATAACCCAGATAAAAGTGCTATTTTAGAATTTTAATCACGACAAATACTGGGGGTTTGAGCCCTCAGCTCAGAGATTAAAAATCCTTCCTCTTGTTGTTCAAATAATTTAATATACTTCATTTTGGATAGTTATTATTATTTTTTTAACCGTGAACCGTACCACTGTATGTCGGGAAATCTGCTCCCAGCTCTAATTTTTGTATATAAGTGCTTTTTTTCCTTTTTCTTTTCTCCTTGTATTTGCTTGCTTAGTCTTCTTTTAACGATTCATAAATCCAGATTCAGTCCCAGCTTTCGTTCCATACGGTATTAACCTCGTGAACTCCTTCCGTTACGTAAAGATGGACAGTGAATAATATTTACTATATGTTGCTTATATGTCAGGGTGTAAGTCTATACATACGTTGTGTATAGTATGTCCCCCCTAGTCCTTGTCTTCATTAAACTAGATAGACCCAATTCCTGCAACCGTTCATCGTATGATTTAGTCTCCAGATCCCTCGTCATCTTTATTCCTCTTCTCTGCACGCTTTCTAAGATCTCCGCATCTTTTTTGTGTCGTGGAGGATCAGAATAACGGACTAACAGAGTTGGAAGGGACCTCGGAGGTCATCTAGTCCAACCCCCTGCTCAAGCAGGAAACCCTATGCCATTTCAGACAAAGGGTTGTCCAGTCTCTTCTTAAAAACTTCCAGTGATGGAGCACCCATGACTTCTGGAGGCAAGTTGT